TTTTTTTTTTTTTTTTTTTTTTAAATAAAAGTGTATCCCACACTTCTTGTATCATAATAATAAGTTCTTACAGTTAAGGTAGGGCTTCTCCAGTAAGTGGGCCACTCCTCTTGCCTTCCTGGCTTTCTCCCCCAACCTTCCCTCCCTCTGCAGGCCAGTCCACACCCTGGGGCCACGGACTCAACAGTCCTATCACTCTGGGTACCAACTGCCAGGCAAAAGCAAAACTCCAAGGTATGTGGAAAGGTCAACACAAAATTACCATCTGACCTGTGTCCAGGTATATGCCCAAAATAATTAGAAACAAGTGTTCGATAAAACTGATAAGGAAATGTGCACTGCAGCACTATTCACAATAGGCAAAGGTGAAAAGAATCCAAATATCCATCAACAAATGACTGGACAAACTATGGCACATACAAAGGAGTATTATTCAGCCGTAAAAACAAATGAAGTGGCTCAGTGGCTCAGCCTATAATACCAGTATTTTGGGAGGCCAAGGCGAGTGAATTGCCTTAGCTCGTGGGTTCGAGACCAGTCTGGGCAATTTGGTGAGACCTCGTCACTAAAATTACTCAAAAATTAGCCGGGTGAGGTAGCATGCACCTGTAATTCTGGCTACTTGGAAGGCTGAGGTGGAGGGATTGCCTGAGCTCAGCAGGTCGATGCTGAGGTGGCTGTGAGCGTGCCACTGCACTCTAGCCTGGGCGAGAGTGATACTCCAACTCAAAAAAAAAAAAGAACAAATGAAGCACTGATACCTGCTACAACATGAAGGAACCTTGACAACATTACATGAAGTGAAGGAAGCTAGACACAAATGGTCACATGATGATCTTTTTTTTTTGAGTCAGGGTCTCACTCTGTCACCCAGACTGGAGGGCAGTGACACGCTCATGGTCACCACATCCTCAACCTGCTGGGCTCAGGCAATCCTTCTACCTCAGCCCTCCAAGTAGCTGGAACTACAAGCATGCGCCACCACGCCTGGCTAATTTTTTGATTTACTGTAGAAATGAGATCTTGTCAAGTTGCCCAGGCTGGTCTTGAACCTTGGGCTCAGGCAATCCTCTCACCTTGGCCTCCCAAATTGCTGGGATTATAGGCGTGAGCTACCGCCCTGCCACAATATTTATATGATGCTTCTCTCCATGTTAAGGTGGGAGACACAAACAATTAACTCAGTCACAGAAAGACAAAGGGCGGCCTCTCCACATGTTCACTGCAGAATGACCTAAAAGCTCTCGCTTTTTCTGCTTCCTCCTGCAGGTCTGTGGGCATGGGCCCTTGACTGACCTGTTTTATGGGGGCAGAAGGTGACAAGGTCCTATATGAACAGGGCCTGATCTGGAAGCAGATTTAAAAACCTGAGGACTGGCAGGTGGGGGTGAGAACCCAAGCTCTTCTTATCTCCAAATAATCTGGTACCAAATTAGCAGCGCTCCAAACTTCCTGAGGCAAGGTGACCCCCCCTTGTGGCCAGGGAGAGGGGAGGGTGAATGAATAGGATTTCAGGCTGTCATGGAAACTTTTCTTTCCTCTTGCCTCCGGACCATATGGCAGGTGTCCTGAAAAATCCGTGCCTGGGGCCGTGCTACCCCCAGACATGTGGGTGGGGGCGTCTGCCTCTCCGTCTGAAAGACCCCCCTCCCTTCACCAAGGCGACAGCAGTACAAAGGAGCCTCCAGTGTGTGCTGCAGGTCCCCAGCTCCCCAGACAGACGCTCAGGGAGCGCCTCCACGGCCCCTTGGAAATCTAAGCTCCCTGCCCCCAGAGGGACTCGATGCAGCCCACAGATCACAGACAGCAGAGGGCCAAAGGCCCCGGCGCAGATTTCTCCTGTGCAGCCTGAAATGTGATGCCCAGTCTGCCCTCCACGGTCTCACAAGCCCTGCATCTCTTCCTCAGACAAACATTGGGACACTGTAGTGGCAAAACAGGCTAGCCTCCCAGCAGGACTGGCTCCCAGGTTTATAACACAGCACTCCAGCGGAGGGTGGAGAAAAATCACTAACTGGGTCTTTAAGCCCAAAGCAGCCAAAGGGAACCGAGACAACAGCAGGTAGAAGGTGCCAGGGGTGGGGTGGAGTGAGGAATGAGCCAGGATTCTGCAAACTTGAAAGCCATGCTTCTGGAATTAGTGATCGTGCAGCCTGCCAGGAGCAGACAAAGCCATAGGGGGAAAATAGGGGCCTTATTGCTGCAGCACCCGTACAGCTCAAGGATAGGAGGAAGGGAAATATATAACAAAACCAGACAGGAACATATTGAAGAGGAGAATGTAAAACCTGAACATTGGTTGGGCGCAGTGGCTCACGTCTATAATCTCAGCACTTTGGGAGGCCAAGGTGAGAGGATTGCCTGAGCCCACAGGTTCAACACCAACCTGGGCAACTTGGTGAGACCTCATCTCTACAATAAATCAAAAAATTAGCCAGACGAGCACCTGTAGTTCCAGCTACTTGGAAGGCTTAGGTAGAAGGACTGCCTGAGCCCAGCAGGTCGCGGCTGCGGTAGCCTTGAGTGTGCCGCTGCACCCCGGCTTGGACAACAGAGTGAGACTTCGATTCAAAAAAAAAAAAAAAAAAAGTGAACATCAAGAATAAAATACCAGATGTCAAAGAAATGTGCTAGGCTGGGCGTGGTGGCTCACACCTGTAATTCCAACGCTTTGGGAGGCTGAGGTGGGAGGATCACTTGAGGCCAGGAGCTTGAGACCAGCCTGGGCATCATAGCAAGACCTCATAGTTACAAAAAAAAAAAAAGATTAGCCAGGCACAGTGGTGTGCGTCTGTAGTCCCAGCTGCTCGGGAGGCTGAGAAGGAAAGACCTCCTGAGCCCAGGAGGTCAAGGCTGCGGTGAGCCATGATAGTGCTACCGCACTTTAGTCTGCGAGACAGAGTAATGCTGTGACTCAAAACAAAACGAAACAAATGTCTTCACGGCACCACCCACTTTGAGCCCGAGGCCTCAGGGCCTTCCAGTCCCCTATACTAACCTGGAGAACTGCGGAAGCCCGACTCTAAAGGAATCCTTAGTTCCATTCACTTCATTTATTCCCCAACATTTTTTTGAGGTCTTACTATGTGCCAGGCAAGCCCCTTTCCCTCCTTGAAACTCACGAACGTTGGAGGACGGGTGGGTGTTCATTCAAAGCACACAATGCCATGGGTGTGTCCGTCTGGGAGACATCACATGGCGAGGGCAGCCAAGGAAGGTTTTCACAGGAATGTGGGCCTTAAATGAGAACCCAGTAGGCAGGCAAAGGGAACAGGGAAAATCCAGCTGGAGGAAACAGCATGTGCAAAGTCCTGTGACAAGCGGGGGCTTAGCTGGTGCAGTTGGAACCCCGGGAGTGATAAAGAGAAGGGCATGAGGTCAGAGGGGCAGGAACATTATCTTAAGCCTGCTGGTAAACCACAGGGCAATTCTGAGTGGCAAGGTAAAACTGTGTCTTAAGGAGATCATTCGAGAAGCAGCAAAAAATTATAGTAATTCCTACCAAAGCAGACAGATGGTCAAAGCTATGCTGTGTTTTTAGTGAAGCCTCTTCAGAAGGTGCAAACCCCAAGAGGACTGACTGTGCCCAGGTCTCAAAATAGGTGCAGCTAAGGTCCCAATCAAGTAGTCATGTTCCCTTCTTTGCTTATTTTTTTACCTTTGAGTCAGGATCTCACTCTGTCACCCAGGCTCATGGTTCACTGCAGCCTTGACCACCTGGGCTCAGGTGATCCTCCTGCCTCAGCCTCCAGAGTGGCTGGGACTATACCACCATAGCACCATACCCAGTTAATTTTTTTTTTTTTGGTAGAGACAGAGTCTCACTTTTTTTTGTAGAGCCCAGAGTCAAACTCCTGGGCTCAAGTGATTCTCCTGCCTTGGCCTCCCAAAGTGCTTGGATTACAGGTATGAGCCACCACATCTAGTCAAACAATCATGTTTCTAAACACCTCTAAGAACAGTGGCCCCTAGGATTCCCCTCCTAGTACATTCAGAGCCACCATACTGGAAAGTGGGAAATGGGGTTAAGAGCACAGGTTCTGGCAGCATGCAGTTCTGGGCTCAATTTTTGTCAACCTAAAGCAATTTTCTTAACCTCTCTGTGCTTCAGTAAAATAGGGTATACTAAGAGTATCTGTCTCCTAGGGTCATGGTGTAGATTAAGATCAAGCTACTAAAATTCTTTTCCCTGCCAGGCACGGTGGCACTTTGAGAGGCCGGGGAGAGAGGACTGCCTGAGTCCAAGGTTCAAGAGCAGCCTGGGCAACTTGACTAGACCTCATCTCTACCATATATCAAAAAATTAGCCTGGCGTGGTAGCGTGCACCTGTAGTTCTGGCTACTTGGAAGGCTGAGGCGGAAGGATCACCAGCGTCCAGCAAGATGACGCTGGGGTGGCCATGAGCGTGCCACTGCACTCCAGCCTGGACGAGAGAGTAAGACTCTCTCTCAAAAAAAAATGGTTTTTTTCCCTTAGCCTAGTACACCAGAAATGCCGAACAATGTTGCTGATTTAATAATCATTCACACTCTGTGAAGGATGAACTCAGACGTGCAGAGACCACAGGACCGTACTACAACATGGAAGCAGTGAGCGTGCAGGGAGGGTGAGACGGCACAGAGGATGGGTGGTTTCCACTTACTTGCGAGCAGGAGGCAGGACACGGCCACGGTGTAGAGCTGCTTGGAGGTGGCGATGTTGTAGCGGTCCATGAAGTGGTCCAGCAGGTAGACGGCCAGGTGCCGCGCTGCGGGACAGAGCTGGAAGTGGCTGCTCAGCAGGGTCAGGATGTCCACGAAGAACCGGCGGCTCTTCAGGAGGGGCGAGTGGGCTCGGAAGGTGGGCAGCTTCAGCTCCTGGGGGACAGGTAGG